GCAAGGGAACCAATTTGGCATTGTGTTACCATCTCCCCTGTTCAATAAAACCACTGTCATTTGCAACCCCGAGTTGGGTCATGTTTTACTGAATCCCAGTCCCTTCCTTATCTTAAATTCCAGCCTCATTCTCTCTCTCTCTCTCTCTCTCTTTTTTCAATTCCAGCTCCCACCCCTTTCCACTAGTTTCCCGATCTCCTCTCAATTCCTACTGCCGTTTCCCTGTGACTTTCTGCTGCCTTTCTGTTTTCCTGCTGCCCCTGCTGCCTTTCAGTCTCTCCTGCTGCTTTTTCTGTGATTTTCTGCTGTCTGTCTCTCTGTTTTCAGGCTTCCCCTGCCCTGCAGCTTCCCCGCTCCTGCAGCTTTCTCCAGCTTCCAACACCTACTACTTCTCTAGCTGCCCCGGAGCCATCCTCTGGCTCCCCACACCCAGAGCCCATCTTTAACACCCACACTTTCCCTTAGTCCCATTTTTCCCTCTCCCCATCTACCTTTTCAGCTTCCCTGTAGCTCTGGCTCCAGACCCAGCCTCTGTGCTGGCATGCTTCCCTGTTCTGCAGACTTTGGGCATTGTCTTTTAATCAATTAAGATCAGTTAACCTAAAGTTACCCCCGAGCCTCAGTTCTTCAGTCCAGGCCCCTCTAGTCTACCGGTTCTAATCCTGGTGACTTTCATTTCCAGTAACTTTAACTCCCTACACTTCTACTTTCTTATCTTAACCTTTCCCCAGGTATCCCAAGTACACCAAGCACATGCATATATATACATCACAACACCCAACTTAGGAACTCACTTGTGTGTATGTGTAGGTGGGTGGTATGTGTGTGAATTAGTGAATACACATATATATACACATATATAGATATCATTGTGTGTGTGTGGTATATGAATTAGTAACCCACGTATGTGTATTGAATGTGCAGGTGTTGGTAACTGGTAACTGATTCTGTCTAAATGTGGTGCGTGTAGCGTGTATGAATCAGCTTTAGACAAAAGTGCCAAAAAGCCCTGCTAAAGCTCCCAATCTATATAGATGTTGCAGAGCCTGGTCAAAGTGACATGCTGCTTCTTCCAGTAAAGTGGGGTTTCATTGATTTCATAGACATTAGGGGCTGGAAGGGACCTTGTGATATTATCAAGTCCAGCCCTGCCTCTGCCCTAGGCAGGGAGGCAGGTCTTTGGTGTAAGTAAACAATCTTTAAAACTACCGCTACGAGTGTGTGCCTAATTCTAGCTTGTCGCGCCCCTCTCTCCGACCCCGCGTGCCCGGGCTGCTGGCCACAGTCCGCGTGCAGCACGAAAAAGGGCCCGGCTCATGCCCGGCCCGCACAATGTCTAGTTTAAATCGGCCTTCCTGGAGTTTATGGCTGTTAGACCTTGTTATCCCTTGGGGAGCTCTGGTGAACAGCTGTTCTCCCAGGTCCTGATGTACCCCTCTTATATAATTGTAGGCTGCTACCAAGTCCCCCCTGAGACTTCTCTTCTCCAGGCTGAAGAGTCCCAATGCCCTCAGCCTCTCCTCGTATGGCCTGCCCTCCAGGCCTTGGATCATACTAGCGGTTCTCCTCTGGACTTTCTCAAGCTTTTCCACATCCCTCCTCAAGTGGGGGGCCCAAAACTGGATTCAGTACTCCAGCAGCAGCCTCACCAAGGCCAAGTAAAGCAGGAGGATGACTTCCGTGGTTTTGCTTGAGATGCATCAGTAGATGCACACCAGAGTTTGGTTTGCTTTGTCAGCCACAGCATCAAATCGGTGACTCATATTCATCTTGGGGTCAATCAGAACCCCCAAGTCTCTTTTGGTTGTGGTACTAGCGAGCATAGTACTGCTGAGCTTATAAGTATGTTGAGGGTTCTTCCCAGCAAGGTGCAGCACCTTGCACTTCTCAGCATTGAAGGCCATCCAGTTTTGGTCAGCCCACCTTGACAGCGTGTCCAAGTCGGCCTATATTCCCAGGCTGTCCTGCAGTGTGACCACCCTCCCCCAAGACTTGGTATCATTCGCGAACTTTGCCAGTTCGCATCTGACTCCTGACTCCAGATCATTAATGAAGATGTTAAAGAGTACCGGCCCAAATACCGAGCCCTGAGGGACTTCACTGGTCACCCTGTGCCATGTTGATTTGCCCCCGTCAACTAGTACTCTTTGGGTCCGACCCCGTAGCCAGTTACCTAGCCATCGGACCATAAGATGATCAAGACCACAGTTCCCCAGGTTATCCATCACGACATTGTGGGGCACTAGGTCAAAGGATTTCTTGGAATCCGGATATATGATATCCACGTCATCTCTCTTGTCCAGGCTCATGTCATCTGGTCATAGGAGATTAGTTTGGTCAGGCAAGGCCTGCCAGTCACAAAGGGTTGTTTTTTGTTTTTTGTTTTTTTTTTTAACATTGGCAAACCCTAATTAGTGTCTTATGATGTTAATTTTATCCCAGTATAGCCCTTTCACCAATGCAAACTAGCTCCCTTACTTTCCAGTGGCCAGGCATTGTAGTACCACCTACTGATAACAGCCAATTTGGTAGACCTGGTTGTTTGCTCAATACTTCCTACTTTCTCCCACCTCAGGCTGAGAAGGTGTTGAACCTCATTTGGGCAACTTCTAGATAGATGCTTGTTATATGACTACATAAAAAGTGGAAACCACCAGCACTACCATATTTTGTAAAGAAGCCAATAATATAAGTAGGCATGCTTAAAGAATGCTTACTGGATTGAGCTCCTAAAGAGACTTAGATGAAGGAAAGACCAAACCAAACAGACCTAGATGGCAGATTGGGACCAAGCTGTTCAGAATGAGGAACTTCTGGACTTCTAAAAGACGCAAAATTCTAGGTGCTTGGATAACTTCATGGTCAAAGAGTGGGGATTGATGAGCAGAGAGGTTTGGTGAGTTCAATTAGGCAACAGCTGAGAAAGGCTTTTTGGAACACAAATTTGGATTTGGGTGCTTCAATTCCACCCAAGTCCTACTTTAGGTACCTGAATCTTTTTTAGATTGAGCCCTTAGCCTCTTTTTAATGGAAGACTCTTGCTAGTATACCCCTTCCCTGTGCCTGATCCCATTTAAATGAATTTTTTACAAATACAGGATTTAAAAGAAAAGTCTTAATTCTGACACACTTAGTGATATTTACCTTGTAGCAGGGGAAAACCAATAATCTTTTAGACTACAAAAGGATCATTCTGTATTCTACCACCCAAAATAATGAATATATTGCTAATACAATTTGGTGAAATAAATAGGAAAATTGTACATATTGTCAATAGCTACCATTTAGTGCAATTCAATTAAAGCAGTGGTAAACAACTTATTCATACTTAGATGAATTACACGCAAACTGAAAACTTTTCAGTAGTTGTTCAAAATTATGAGTAATTCTAAGTCTGCAGGTCTTTCAGGAACAGTTCAGTGAAAATATCTGAAATATATGCCCTGCTAGTTCCTTATATGAGCTGCTGTTTGGGTATTTTTCTGTTTCCTGATAGATGTTTAATGTCAGAAAGAAATAGCAGTGTGAATTTCAAGTTGGGCATTTAGTGGGAAAAGTCTGTGTGAAAGCTTCAAAAGTGTTTCTCGTGGGTTGCTTTAGTAAAGCTTGTTTATTAGAATATTTGGGGCAAGCCAACCCAAAAGAAGAACCATCACAGTGAAATGAATGAACTTATCAGGTGAGTGAATATTTAGACAAGCTTCAGAATATTTGAGCAGAAATTACTGTAGGCCTTGCTGGAACCTGGATTGGTGCAGCCATTGATCAGTGCATACAGAAATCATCTGGAGACTTGTTAGCAGCATGAACCAAAGTAGGCCTCAGTAACAGCTTGAGCCATAGGCCTTGCTGTTTGGAAAGTGGACCATACATAGCCTAAGTTAGGATTATTAATTTTTAGAAACTTCAGAAGGTCAATGGAAGGAAAACAATGGATGAGTACAAGACACTGAAACAGGGAAGGTCAGAATGTCTAGTGAAGAATCAGATGTGAATGATATCACCTTAATACATTTAGTGATTGCTAGAACTAGGAGGTATACACTATAAACAAAATATTGTTTTGATTGATGTACAAAAGGAGGCCTGGGAACCCTGAATACTTTGCACTGAACTAGGGGCCCTACTTTATGCTGGTGCCATGGCTGAACGGGTATATGTTAGTGCTTGGTGTTGTTTGTGGACAATAAACCCTGAAGAGTCTTTGTTACCAAGAACCTGAACCTATGAGCTCTTCATTACAATTAACAAGGTCATTAGGAGCAGGAGGAGGACTATAGCATCAGAGAGTATCCTGACAGTGCACGTATGGACCATGCTAGTTGGGGGAGCTTAACGTGACTGGTACTACTTCACCCCTGGCTATACCCAACAATTATAATTTCAAATATAAAATTTTTCTATATTATGGAAAAAAAATCATGTGGAAACGCTGGAATTGTCACTGATATTGTGCAAAAAGAAACTGAACTCTTCACTAGTTCCTTCAGTTGTTTTTCTGTATTCTCAGGGCATTTATACACTTACCTTTTCGTTTGGTGATGTGCTGGAGATCCACTGCTTCTGAGCAGACTCGATTAACTGAGTCTGCTCTGCACGTGAGCTGACTTGCACTATGCTGCGCCAGATGCAATTGTATAAGTGGCAAAATGCATGTCAGCATGAAGAAAATGGTGGTGGTGCACCTTTGAACTAAAGCACTTCTGAGGTGTTTTGAGTTTAAAAGCCCGCTGCCAACATTTTCTCAGTGCTGACACACATTTCACCACTTATACAACTGCAAGCGCTGGAGCGCTGAGCGCTTTTCAAAGTGCCCAGCACTACAGCGCTTACACTTGTAAAAATGCCCCTAGTGACCATGTTTAATCATTAGGTGAGTCACTGAATGGGTATTAGTCCCAAGGTCAGTGGACTGCAGAAAAGGACAATTTTCTTGCCATTTTCCAGTTGGTCTAGTAAAAGGTATCATTTTGGAACCAAGAGTTCTAGTTTTTTGTATGTCTTTTTGTCTCAGATCAACACAGCTACCAAGTACACCCCTGCAGTATCTACTTGCTCACTTATAAGAAACTGATAATGGAGTTAGTGCATTTGATAACCATCAGTGAATTAAACCCAATACTGGTACTTTTCTCATTTGGCCATTTCTTCTGTATTACTTTCTAATTTATCTCATCTATTTCCAGGATGTTAACCACAATGATGTCAAGGTGCCAATGGGCATTTTTTCTCTTTCCATTTTGTAGGATGTGCACCTCTTCTACTCCACATGGCAAAGGAAGCAATTTCCTTAATGGCAAAACACTAACCATTTTCTTACAGGTATTTTAAATGCTTTGTTAGTCATGCAGCCAGTTACCCAAGCTATGGGTAAATGATGCAATAAAGATTTTACAGTATTTATAAAAATCAGGTGCAGTCAATAATAAAATGAGTTCACATGTTTTGGAAAGTGTATATAAATATGTTTAAATCAAGAAAAACTATTGTGCTTACATATCAGGATATGGATGCTTCGAAACAACACTACACAAGATGAACATCTTGGATAGCCCTCTGTTTGAATGTGGTGTCCAACAAACATCACAGCACTTAATTGAAAGCTATAATATTTACAAATGCCCAGACGGGGCAGCTGGAATTACAACACTGAGCTTTAATACCAGACAGTGGCTTATGGATTTGGAAGTTGATATCTGATGCCATATGAAAGAAGGAGCAGCAGCAGCAGGAGGCTAGTTCATGGAGCAAGCTATTAAGTATCACACTTTTATTTAATGGGTTGTTAAAAAAATTCTTCACAAGAAATAGAAAATATTCTTTGTTCATCTCTTCTTTAACAACCCTACCTGCCAGAGAGGGTCCTTCTGCTCAGGGAAGAGCTCAAAGTATTTGTGAGCCAGCTGAATCGGAGGCAGAGTTTGCAGTTTCAGGTTCGTCCAGGTCTGAACAAAGTTGGCCAGATTCACAAAGGTGTACAACCCCAAACGGTCATTCCCGTAGTTGGACAAGTGTGTCATGAAGATACTGATCTTTAATAATAAAAAAAATGGAAAGAAATAACATGATCTCATTGTGTCACTAGGTGGCACTGCAGACATATAATATATTTGTTTTTGTATGCTACTTTCATTTAGACCAAGAAGGGGTTTTGTTCACTTAGGGACAAATTCTGCCATTTTTTCATTTCATAAGACATCCCTCCTCAAATGAACTCAGCGAAATCAACATGACTATTTGTGAGTTAAGGTACTATTCATTGGGAACTGGTCTGGAAGAATTTTGCCCATATTTTATTGAATTGTGTAATATTCACAGTATCTTTATTAGAGGTGTACAGACAGAGAGAGGAGTGGGAAAATGGCATTACATATGAAATACATATGTAGGAGCTGGAAATAAATATAAAGAGATAGACCCTATATTAAAGGAAGAGAGAATTGGTTTGAAATCAAGAGGATGTCTGAGCTCTGTGTGTTAAAAATACTGTGATATTTATGTTGTTATTTAATGTTGTATGGCAGAGAACTAATCTGAAAAATATTGTGTATACCAACCAATAGTATCTTATACAAGATTTATAGGTTGTAGGCTCTTCTTATGGCAGATAGAGTAATTAAATACCCTAAATTCTCATTATTTGATGCAACAAATCTTTTGACAATGTCCACAGTAGACATATCACCTCACACACTGAACACGAGGTCAAATTAAATGTTGGAATGGGGAAAAGATATTTGCAGCAAGACAACATTTTCAGTGGATTATGTGTGTCATATTTTCAATGAAAAGTTTTGTTCACTTTAATAACAGCTCATAAATTAGCCCCCAGTTTGTTTTCTTAAAGCCCAAAATACACAGTTCTTATTCAGGCGAGTCTTCTCAGTCAGGATGCCTACATGATTCTGTGCAAAACCTCATAAGGAGATGCAGAATTGGGTGCTCAAACACTATGTTGATGAGCACATTATGACTATGTGGACAGGCAGCAAAGCACTGAATTCTCCAGACCTTCCGCCATACAAACATTAGTATACCGTTCCTGTTACACAAACTCTCAGTCTGATATTTTGTAATGAGTGAACATTCTGCTTCACAGTAAAATTTGTTTAATGAGTACCATTTTGTGCTACTTCTTGGCTTGCAATGCAACTTTGGGGCTTCATTTTATATGACTTCAGAAAGATAAGGAGGTTCACAAAGGGAGAATTTTTCACAATAACTTCCCTTTTAAGGCAGGACCTAATTTATTTTTTTATAAATGGGAATACTCCTGTTAGGCAAGACATAATTCAGAGTTCTGCCAAATATGTAACCTTTTCAAGTTTTCTTTATTTTTGGTTCTGAAAACATGAGCAAACCAACTATAGGACTGTTGTTCTCAATAAAGATATAATTGGAATGTTTCCACAAAAAAGGTTAGCTTTCTTTCTTGGCAGCTTCTTTCTTTCCTACACCTGTTCTGACCTCTGACATTTATAATATGAGTTCACCTCCTAGCAATTCCTTACCTGCCAACAACTTCAGCACTGCACTGGAAGAAAAAAGGAAGAGAACTTCAAAAGGTTACCAGTTCAGGGGAAATATGTATTATTCTTTTCACTGCAGGGAATATCACTATAATTTTAAGAATGTTATAGAGGCGAGGTTAAAAAATAGATGGAATGTATCATAATAAATAATTTTCAATATATGAAGTATTGTCAATAAGAGGAAAAAAACATCAGACTTCAATTCTCATTTTGTGACCATTCCTACTATAGATACATTGTGAATAATTACTAGCAACTAAAGAGGTGATCAAATACATATTTAAGTCACAGATTACTAACTCGCTAAAGAAAGTCATGTACATTATTAACAAATAAAGGATTAATATATATTGTTATGATGGAAAAAGTCTCCTTTATTTTTATACTAAATCCAGTACAGTAGAATCAGATATCTTCTCCAGGAAAATTTGAACAGCATTTTTCCCACTTCTGTAGATGTTTTGCATACAAATTCCTCTTAAAGTCTTTGCCAATTCTACTGACTGAGTGTATGAAGTTAGAAAATAATGACTCCATCTTGTGCTACATTGTAAATAAAGGAAAATTTCTAATTCACTGACCTGCTTCTTGCACAGACCTGGGAGACTGCTGGCACTTGCTAAGGCGCAGGTTATAGCAGCCTGTGGATAGCCTGAGCCTGCTTTCAGCTGCAAATAGTCCCTAGAGCCTGTTCTGGCAGCTCAGTAACTGGAATCTAACTGTATTGGCCACAATCCCATTTCCCCTTGAACCAACCTGGCATGCATCATGTACCACGGGCTCCTAGGAGAGAAGTCCAGCCAGCTATGCCAACTCCACACCTGTCACGGACTTCCCCCAATGTTAGGGGAAACCCCGAGGGCTGAGCTACAGAGGCTTTATAGCCAGTTTGAGAGATACCATCTGGTCCCCATTTCCTCCTTGTTTCCAGCATGGGAAAAGATGTGCACCAACCATTTTGGTTGCTTATTTTCCCTTTCATGCTGGTCCCCTGCATAGAATAGCATATTTTAGGAAAAAGCTGAGACTCTGCCTTCTTTCTTCCCACAGACCTGTGCAGGACAGGGAAGTTTCTTCTGTATTTCCATTCACAGACATGCGTCTGATCTAATAATAAGCCACTGATTTTTTTTGTCTTTCTTGTTGAGTTTTAATTGAGGCATTTTCCCCACCTTGGCCACAATATTCTAAACTCCTGAGAAGCTCTTAACAAAGGAAAAATGCTTCATGTTCCTACCCTCACTAATAATTGCTATGCTATTTAAAAATATCCTATTAAAATGTTGGGGTGTGTGTAGATGAAACAGAGGCCCTAAATTAAAGCGGTGGGTTTTAGAAAACACTGCTTCAATTTAGGGCTGATTAAATCCCTGTGTTGCGCACACACCCCACTGACTTACCTGCCTCTCCGGCAAGGGAGGGGAGGGTAAGCTGCTGACGGGAGAAGCAGTCCCTGGGCTGCGGGGGGGTGGAGGGCCTGGTGCTTCCCTCTGCAGCAGCTGCACTCCCCACCCCAGCAGCACCTGCCCACAGGCACCCAGCTTGGGTGGTCCCAGGGGGGGCACTGCAGCCATTGAGGGAAGCACCAGGCCCCTGCGCAGCTTAGGCAGGCAGGCAGGCTCTGGAGGTGGGGATCAGGCTCGTCGCTTTTCTTGGGCAGAGCCTGCTTTCCCGGGCTTCTGCCAGGCTGCCTGCAGGGCTTCCTGCAGCTGTACAGTGCCCGGCGCTTCACTTTGCGGCTGTAGGAGCAGCAAACTAAAACTCCTTGAAGGAGTTTTAGTTTGCTGCAGCACCGCAAGTCATTTAAGGCGCATTATGCCACCGAATTTCCTACAGTGGCTGGAATTAGTGCGCAATACACTGCAGAGGTGTGCAAACACCAACACCATTAAAGTGGTGCAAAAGCATTTAGCCCACTTTAAAGTGTTGTGCACACATGCCTCTTGTTTCATTGACACATGGCCTTGTTCTCTCAAAAGACCACAGCACTAACTGGGAACCATCCAAACATGATCACTTGTGGGATCTTGTGAGTTACGACATCCAGCAACTCACATTAATTCTTCAAGAATCTTGTCCCAATAACCTGGCACTCCAGGTTAATCCTAGGAACAGTGGCATAACAAAGGTAGGGTGACCAGGACAGCCATCCTGGGTGCTGACTTTTGGAGAAAGTAGGGGAGTGAAAAAAATAGCCATATGATCTCATCTGCAGCAGTGGTGGTAACTGGAAATTGCTGCTGCCTGTGCGTGTGACAGCTGTCTTGGGTGTCTGGCTGGGTCATTATGTCACTCGCTGTGAGATACAAATAGTCTCCCATATTTTCCATTTCTTCTTTTAAAAAGGAACAGCTCTGAATGGACTTCTATTTGCTCTAACTCGCATTCCAGTGTGTTGCCTTCAGTGAGAACAACTTATTTTATTCTACTATTTCAAACTCCATTATCTGAGCCATTTTCTCTACTTCAGTTCAAACAGGATCACCCTTCTTAGCCTTTCCTCATAAACAAACGATCATCTTGGCTGCACTTCATTGTGCACTCTCCACAGGACTTAATATCCTTTGTAACAGGCCAAAACAGAATACAGACATTTTTTTAAATGATGGTTAGGGAGTAAACTTGGCCTCTGGGCAGCATCTCCTTTCTTGCTCCAACTCCTTTCTTGCTCCCACCCATCTCTGAGTCTCAGTGGCAAAGGTGCTCTCTGCTCTAGTTTCTCACAAAGCTCTCTGGGTAACTATATAATCAGCTCTTTTTGGCTTCTTTTTAGTATCTATGTTTTCCTTCCTCCACAGAACGTGAGTGACAAAAAGCACTTTCTGTTCTGC